CAAAGATTCAAACCACTAAATCACTCCAACATTACATAATTCTGTGCTGGCCTGAGCAGTGCATCGCCCCCCCCCCCCCTCGGCGGCCCCTGACGAGTAATCAATTTATACGTAGCTACCGTATTGCACGAGGAATATCAACACAATTCCATAGCCTTATTCCATGCATTGTTCAGCCAATTTTGGTACAAGTAAAAGAATGATATCATCTGCAGTAGCTAATTGTATGGCAAATGATAAGCAATAACGATCAATGATATAACAAAAATAGAATATAAGTATAACAATAACAATAACATAGACGAAATACTAATTAGAAGCTTAAGCAAAATGAAAATAGGGACATACTTTAGTAATCCAAAGTAAACACTGAATATTCCTAAATAAGGAGAAGAATGAATACATACATGTTCAGGTTTGATTTTTTTTTTTTTTTTGAAAAGAATAAATAAACAAAGCAGGCAGACAAAGGAGTAGAATTAACTTAATAGTGAATCTGAAATAATTATAACAATAACAATGATAGTTATAATGATAATAACAATAATGATAATAATAATAATAATGATAATAATAATAATAGTAATAATAATAGTAGTGATATAGATAATGACAAAAATAACAATAATAATAATGATCACGGAAATAATGATAATAATCATAGTAGCAATAATAATAATAATGATTATCATGATGATAATAATAACGGAAATAAAGATAATGATATTCATGATAATCATAATAGCAATAATGATAATAATAATAATAATAATAATAATAATTAATAATAATAATAAATAATAATAATAATAATAATAATAATAATTAATAATAATAATAATAATAATAATAATAATAATAATAATAATAATAATTAATAATAATAATAATAATAATAATAATAATAATAATATAATAATAATAATTAATAATAATAATAAAAAATAATGATACTGAAATAATAGTAATAATAATAAAAATAATAAATAATAATAATAATAACAATGAAATAATAAAAATGATAATATCAAAATATCTATAATAATTAATAATAATAATAATAATAATAATAATAATAATAACAATAATAATAATAATAAAAATGATAATAACAATAATAATAACAATAATGATAATAATGATAATAAAAAAAAATAATAAATAATGATAATAATAATTAATAATAATATAATAATAATAATAATAATAATAATAATAATAATAATATAATAATAATAATAATAATGATAATAATAATAATAATAATAATAATTAATAATAATAATAATAATAATAATAATAATAATAATGTAATAGTAATGACGAATACTGGATAAAAAATGATTATGAGTAATACTACTACTTATGATAATGATGATAATGATAATTATGATAACAGTAATAATGATGATGATGATGATAGAGATAAGGATGATAATAAGTGAAATAATAAAGTATAAAGATGATAAATATGATATAATAATATAAAAATAAACAATGATACTACTACTACTACTAAAAATAATAATAATAATAATAATAATAATAATAATAATAATAATAATAATAATAATAATAATAATAATAATAATAATAATAATAATAATAATAATAAATAATAATAATTAATAAATAATAAATAATAATGATAATGATAATGAATAATAATTAATAATAATAATAATAACGATAATAATGGATAGAGATAAGGATGATAATAATAATAATAATAATAATAATAACGATAATAATAATAAATATGATAATAATAATATAAAAATAATAATGATACTACTACTACTACTAAAAATAATAATAATAACGATAATAATAATAATTATAATAATAATAATAATAATAATAATAATAATAATAATGATAATAATAATAATAATAATGATAACAATAATAATGATAATGGTAATAATAATAATGATAATAATAATAATAATAATAAAGATGTTAAAAATAATAAGATTAATAATTACAACAATGATAATAATAATGATGATATTATTAATGATAATAACAAGAATAACAATAAGAGTAATAGTGATAATGATGATGATGATGATTATAATGATAATGATAATAACAATGATGTAGATAATAGATATAATATTCAGAAGAGGAAGATGACGAAAAAAGAAGAAAAAACAATAACAACAGCAATGACAATAATGATAACAAAGATAATAATGAAAATAATGATGAAAAATCATCATCATCATCATCATTATTATAATAATAATGATAATAATAATAATAATAATAAATAATAATAATTTATTATTATTATTATTATTATTATTATTATTATTATTATTATTATTATCATTATTATCATCATCATTATTATTATCATTATTATTACTATTATAATTATCATTATCATTATCATTATTATTGTTGTCATCCTTATTGTTATCATTATTATTACCATTATTGTTAACATCATCATCATTATCATTATCATTGTTATTATTATTATCTTCATCAT